TTTTTCTACGTTTTTTATACGTTTTTTAAACGTATTATTTCCGTATACTTTCCTTATACTGATTATTTATAGGGTTAATATTTTAGAAGATAACCTACAAAAATGAAATGCTATTTCTCGAATGGTTGGTGTAAGTTGATAATTGTGATTATTGTTAAAAGAATTAACTTTTACAATACTGCTTATTTTTGAAAAGATGACATTAAGTTTTTAAGGACAGGAGATTTGTAAAGAATAAGCATTATAATGTTTAGTTAAATCAGAATTGACTTGTAGATTATAGGTGCCAGACTTAGCATATTCATATATGACTTTTGTATTATTCCACTTTGATCTTTTTCGCTTGTTCTGATTATAAAATTAAAACTTTCTTTTAATGTAAAATTACTTATCCAAATCTTACACTCTTCCTAACTAAAGAAAGTTAGTTCAGATTCCAAAGGTTTTAACATATCATCTTGCGAAAGGTCATTTTGCGAAAGGTCAGTTGGAGAATCAACTTGTGAAGGATCTTGTAAATGGTTATCTTATGGTATAACTAGTTTATAGAATTAGACAGAGACTTGTAGGTAATATATCGTTGCAATATAATTATCCTATAGAAGTATTATACGAAGGTAGCTTGAGAATATAAACGATAATAATACAAATATTTATCATGTGACTTATCAGAGTAGCGAAATCACTTTAAGCTTCACAATTATTTTCGCATTTTTTATATGACATTCTTCTTACAAATAAAATATAACGAAAGGCAAAGAGCAAAAGGCAAAGAAAAAAGAAAAGAGCAATAACAATTGGCAAGATCAATCGATTCTATTGTTATTGAAACAAAAGCGATTGATTTATTAAAAAAACGTGATACCAATTTTAGTCTAGTGTTCATTTATATAAATAAGAAAATCAGTTTTATTATTTAATATAGTGCGACACTTTATACAAATAAGAAATAATCTATTATTTATAAACATGTGACACTGAACCTGTGTCTGAACACCCTGTGTAAACTTAGAAATTTTCATTAATTTATTATAACTAATTATTAGGATAATTTAGCATAATATCTATATCATTATTTCAAGAAAAATGTAATAATGTTAAAATTTTTTACTTTTAATAATATATGTATAATATGAACTAATAATATCTAATAACAAAAAAATTTTGGCAAAAGAATTGTAAATAAATATATTTAAATAGATGAATACTTAAGGTATTTTTTTAAAAAAATGTTATATAAAATAATGGAAAAAGAATATCCTAAATATATATTATTAAAATTAGTTTATGCATTTAAGTAACAATCTATATAGTTTATGATAAATCATTTATAGTTTATATAAATTATAAGTAACTATTATATTTTATTTTTTTTAATTTATAATAAAAAATAAAATACCTAATTTTATTTACATTATATAAAAATTGGGCATTTACTATTTGTTTCTTTAAAATTATTATAACGATAAAGATAATAATATATAAATTTAAATTTAAAATTAATATCAATTAGAATTATACTCATTATATTTAATATAAAGATGTATAATAAATAAATATTATTATTATTATTTTTTTTTTTGCGTAAACATGTACAATTTATTTAAATTAAATACGAATGAAATTTATTTATTTTTCTTAACGTTGATTGGTGTTTGATATCGTTGAAACTTTACAAGAAATTCTATTTTATTACTATATTGTATTGTAAATTAAAGCAAGCTATAATCATTACTGTCCTTTATGATCTATTTAAAATACAAGGTTACAAAATTTACCTTTATTATATTGGAATGCTATTTAACATGATTATAAAGGATAACAAAGCAATCGTTTGGTAAGAATACCAATCAAAAGAGGAAACTGCCTGGAAAATCGAATTTACTTTTAAATTCCAAAATATGGTTCAGATTTAGTAATAAACTTTAATAACTTCATATTTTTTTTTTCTTCCTTTCAATTGGAGTCTTGGAAGTATAATCGATCATTAGCTACCTATAAAAACTTTTCAATAGTCACGATATATTATAGTGTAACTACATATATATAATAAGGTTTGGCTGAATATCTGGAATTTGCTTTTGCTTTCGGGTAATCTGAAAGTAACAGTTCAGATTTAAGAAAATGGGTGCTACAATCGCATCTCATGTGGTTTTCAATGGATTTTTTTTTAGATTAATTTTTTTTTTTTTGAATGACAAGTTATTTTCAAACTTCAATTTTCTCATTTAGAAAAAAATAAAGGTTTCTTTAAACGGATTCTTAACAATATAATCTATTCTATTAATGAATTAGATAGAATAATTAACGATCAATCGGATCGGAACAGCTTCTGTGACCCATTGGATATGTTTATGTAATCTTGCCGATCAATTGATTTTGTAATACCCCATTTATAATTATATTTATTTGTTGATCCAAAAAATTAATTGCTCTCTCGATTTTTAGATTTTAATTAAAAAAAAAATGAATTCAAAAACGGATAGGATGGTAATAGATCAAGAATCAGATTTGAAAGTGGTATTACCTGGAGATCCTATTGAATTGAAAAAAAAAGAATCTTTGAAATTAGGTCCAGGTTTAACGCAAACCCAAGATTCCATAATTTGTATTAAGGCTGGTATATTGAATCATTCTAAAGATGGAAAAAAAGTGTGGGTTGAGAGTAATCAAAAAAGAGTATGTAAAAATTTATATATTTTTTTTTATCAAATCGACTTGATGAATTTTTTTTTTTAAAAAGAAAAAGGATTATAGTATATTCCTGTAGGAGGAGAATCGGTTCTTGGAATCGTTACTTATAAAGGTGGAGAATTTTATCGATTAGATATTGGTAGTGCACAACAAGCTACATTGTCCAATACAGCCTTTGAGAATGCCACCAAAAAGAATCGACCGATTTTAAATGTAAGTGACAAAATATAATCCTTAAAAAAACTCACGAGTTCCATGACGCGTTTACTTTCTTCGTAATGTCATGTTTAGATTGGTAGTTTAGTGTACGCAAGAGTATCTTCTGCAAATAAAGACATGGAGCCGGAGCTTGAATGTATTAACCCATCAACAAATAAAGCGGATGGATTTGGAGAATTAGAAGGTGGATATGTGATTAAATGTTCTCTAAGATATTGCAGAAAGTAATTCTCATTCATACTCTTTATGTTGTTTTTATCATTTCATACTTTCTAACCAATGATTGGATTTTTTAAATTTAAACGATAGGTTATTATTAAATGAAAATTCGATATTATCATTATTAAAAATATTAGAGCAAAAATACGAATTTGAAATGGCGATTGGAATGAACGGTAAAATTTGGATAAAATCAAAGACTATTAGTGATACTATTATTTGTTGTAATATTATTAAACGTGCCGAAAGTTTGAATAGTAGTAATACTAATGCTGATGAATTTAAAAGATTACTTAAGATATTTAGATAGAATAGAAATTAAAATGCGATCAACTTGCTTTTTTTTTTTTTTTTAATAAAATGCATATTCGTTCTTTTATATCTTTACATAATAATTTTTTTTTTTGACAAATTCTAAAATCTATAAAGTATAATTGAAATGTATGTACATATATATATATCTATAAATATTGAATTAAAATATCTTAAATGAAGTTATATAAAATAACTTTAATGATTATACAGAAATATTATACAAGCAAACTTTTAAATGTAACAAAAGCAAAAAAAAAAAAAACTTGCTCTTGTCAAATAAGCAATTAATTTCAATAAAGAAAAAAATTAGTAATATTGTTGTAGTTGTACTAATTACATATTATTGTCCAGTAATCTGTTTATATTCAAAATAACTTAATTAATCACTTATTTAGTTATATAAAGAAAAAAGGGGAAGTTAAAAAATTTATTGAATTTGAAAGGGTTTTTTTTTTTCATTTCATTCAAACAATAATTAATGTAAAGATAAAAAAAAATGGGGTAAAAAAAAAAAAAAGAAATTTCTATACAAATGTTACAAGCCCAATTTTTTTTTCCTTACACTAAAAAATCCTCTTCCAAAGGTTCAAAGTCCAATATAATAATAATAATAATAATCTAACTACCAATGAAAAATTAAACAACTCGGAAAATAAAATATTTATAACTTTCAAAATTTTTGTGAATAGGTTTTTGTTTTCTCTTAAATAATTTTCTCTGATTCTCATTTTTCCACTATGCTACGTCGACAAATTGGACATTTGTCGGAATTTTTGAACCAGGAGTCGATACAATCTTGATGAAAATCGTGCGAACAAGGCAAATCTCGGAGCATATCATTGCTTTCATAACCTGTTAAACATATCGTGCACCTATAGAAATTGATATTGTGTTAATTAAAATGCCTTAAAATAATTATGTAATGTGGTCAATTTCCCGTACCTTTCTTCAGCAGTTTTGCTCTTGCCCGCTATAAATGTTTTTGCTGGTAGGGTTTTTATGACATCTTCGGAAACGCCCTTAGGTTTTGCATCACCGATACGTTCACATAATCGAAGTAAACCTTCGTAGCTGGAGTCAAACTCATCCTCATCCTAAAATAAATAGGAAAATTAAAATTAAAAAAGTTGAATTAAAAAAAACTCTTCAAATTACAAATAATTCAAGTAATTACTAGATAATTATCCGGATTTGCTGCAATACCATTGCTAGATAAGAATTTTGAGATTATTATATTATTACAATTAATTAAAATGATTTTGCAATGTTTGAATTTTGAAAAATCGAATGCGCACCCCCAAACCGGCCATAGATCCAAAAAGTCTTCCAATTCTATTTCACCTGAATCAATAAGATTCCCCAATAAAGGATAATGTGGGATAAAATGATGGTGTAGATAATTGCTTGCACTACTTGACCTTCCACCATTTCTAGATTGACTACCTCGTGAGTGACCTCGACTTCGAGGTTCGTTACCTCGTTCTTCATGGTGATGACGCTCATGGGATAAAATTTCTGGTAACCTTGCGGTTCCACGCGTTGATATGTTCCTTCTAGAAGATTCGTTCCGTGATGATGATGATGAACCCGAAGTTGTTTCTCGACGATTTGTAGTAGAACGGGCTATGTATGTATCAAAAATTAAAACTCAACGTTATTGAAAATTTTTAAATTATTTGAAACCCTTATTAAATATACCTCTACTAGCACCAAGGAATCTAGCTAAAACATTCTGTTCATCAATCTAAAAAATTAAACATCATCAAATTTAATAAAATATAAGAATGCAAAAAGATTATGTATACAAGACTTACAGTGTTTTGAATACTACTGTACTCATAAGCTTGCATTCTTCTCGCTATTTGTTCGTCAGCAGACAATGAACCGTCATTTGTAGAATTAGCTCTTACTGCTGTAGCTGCAGCTAATGCTGCCAGCGTTCTAGAACGAGTAGGATCGATTGTATTATTATCTTGACGTGGCTCGTGACGCCTAGGAGGCCTAAATTGAGCACGAACTGCAGGGGCAGATGTTGTTACATTCACTTCACTGTCTGAACTTTCCGGTAATTCAGTAAGGTTGTCCTGTTCTTCATCACTTCCAAGTATCCTAGCAACTTCTTGTATAGCAGTACTAAAATTTGTATTATTATTATTATTATTGTTGTTGTTGTTGTTGGTGTTGTTATTATTGTTATTATTATTACTAATATTATTACTATTACTATTACTATTTCTTTGATGAATCATCGCACTACGACGGTTAAAGTTCGGATTTGGCATGATTGGTCTTGTCAGTATCTCTGCACGTCCTCTTGGATCTCGAGATGTCCATCTAGAGGTTGTTGAAGATGACGTTGGTGATGCCCTTGAAGCCTGTGATAAACCCGAAATATTATTTGAATGGTGATGAGGCCTCCTCTCTGATTGTTGAATTACTTCAGGATACATAAATGTTATATCTGGACTAGCAGGAGCAAAATTAATACTATAACCTTGTTGTTCTTCACCATTGTGATTAGATGTAGAAGTAGGCCTTCGTGGCTCGACAGGTTGAGGGACTGAGTGATTAAAGTTCCTTCTTGAAGGAGCAAACGTCCGATGATAAAAGAAAGGCGGTGGTTGTGATTGAGATTGTAAACGAGGATATGTAGGTTCATTTGATGGAGTCGCAACAATTGCAGACGAAGATCGCGAATTCGAGAAAGCTCTCGTACGATTTGATGAATAATGTCCTAATATATTTGGAGGTGATGATATAGGTGTATGATCATTTTCTGGTGAGAAACCAATGAATGAAGTCATATTTCCTGCCGATCTGTTGTTACTGGGCTGTGGTGGAGATGAAGATAACTGTGTTGACCTTAAATTTTGATTTGGTCTACTCGATATATCTCTAATAACAGGCTCCAGAGACCCAAACTGTATAGATTGTGAGAAATTTGGTTGCGATACACTGGACCAATCATTTGAAATTGATCTAGCCCGTTTTCTTGAGGAAGTGGTATCATATGAAGTAGATGAAGAAGTTCCATCATCATCATCATCATCACCAATTTCTTGTGACTCTTTTGGAAAACCAAATCTCAGTGGACTTTGCTTTCGTTGATTTGATGCGGAAGATGATGCTGACGAAGCAGATGATATCGATGACGAAGCAACAGTCGCATCAGTACTATTAGGATAAATTGGAGAAGGATGATTAACATTTGGAAATCTAAATATGCTCTGGGATGAAGGTGGCGAAGAGAAATGATCGGGAAATGAAGAGATATTAAGTCTATTATTAGTATTAGCATCATAAGTTCTTGTAGGAGAGGAACCATTCCTTGAAGGATGTATTGGCAAATATCTATTCAAAAATGGTAAAGAAGGATCCGATCCAATTGACCTATTACTTATGTTAGAAGTAGATAACGATGAGGTAGGAATTGAAGGATTGCTAGGGACCAATTGTATTGGAGGTAAGAAATTACTATTGTTGTTGTTATTACTATTAGGTGATCCATTGCTATTTCGATTTATGTTAAAATTATTCACATTTTCAAATGTTTGTATGTTTGAATTATTAATGATTTGTTGTTCTTCTTCTTCATTATCTTCTGATTCAGTTTCTGAACTACATACATCCATTTCATCATCGTCATCTTCATCTTCTGTGGTGGTAAAAGAAGTAACATGATTATGATAATTATATTCTCTTTCTTCGATTTCCTCTTCGCTATCGGTTGCACCCTCCATTCCTCCCTCACTGTCGTCTTCAAGGTTAGATTCGTTGGAAAAAGGTGGTGTACCAGAATATCCTTGTTCGTTATCTGAGTCACCTGCAGTAGTTCTAGCGTAAAAATGGAAATTTCTTTGGGCAGAATTGACATAGGGATATGTGTCGCTAACTCCAGAGTGCGACATTATTACAGCGGAGAAAAGTGGTTGACCAAGCCTTTTATTCAAAACAAACAACAAAAAAAAAAAAAAAACGATAAAAAAATAAACAATTGCAGAGAGAAAACTATTGAAAGATTAACACGACTTTTTAAAAAGAAACTAGTTTCGTTTTATATTATAACACGTCTTTTTTTAAGAGAATTTTGTAATGAACAAAACTATACAAATTATAAATACGGAAAAAGTATGAAAAGGCTTTAAGGGCTGAACACACTGCTGACGGGGAAAAAAAATATTTGGGGCCTATTTATAAAGGGAGGACAGGTTGAAACAACTTCTTCTTATATAACAGAAATAAGAAATAACGACGTAATCTTAATTATTAATATTATTTCGGCTTTTGTCTTGCTGAATTTCACCGTCTCAGAGTTTAGTCAAAAAAAAAAAAAAAAAAATAGCTTTTTTTTCCCTTTTTGTCAGAGTTTATTAAGAATATTAGTAATAATGTTCACAGGCTGTCTATCGTATTCGATTTGCTTTTTTTTTAAGTATTGTGTTCTGTGTTATGAAAGTTAAGTTTGTGATAAAAAAAGAACAAAGTTTGAAAAGAACAGTTTAAGAACAAATAACACGGCAAAAGAATAAAAAGTACAAATACGTACACGCAAATAGATAAATAAGAAATAAAAAAGCTAACCAAGACAAATATTAAAAAAAAATAGAATTCCGTGAAGTTTCAGGCAGGTCGCAAGAATTTAAGGATGGGAGAAACCGTGAAGGAAACTTGTTGAACATTGGTGCCTTCTATATATAATTGATAAAAAAAAAAAAAAATTAAGAAAATGTAAAAAATCTACGAATGAATATATTTGATCTGATACGATGGGACCTGTGATATAGTGATAGTATAATAATTTTATATATATATAAGCATGATTTTCTCATATTTTTTTATATATTTTTTAAGAAAAAAATACAGGAAAGAAAGGCATACAAGAAAAAAAAAGTGAACACTAGTTGCTAATTGGGAGAACAGTTTAAACGTTTTACGCAAACAACTATTAACGTAGTACTAGGCAACTATCGGCATATTTGACAATCCAAAGAAAAAATTAGTTATAATTTTTTTTACAATTTATAATTTAAATTTTTTTTCTTTCTTATGACAACAATAATGAATCTTAAAGTATATAAAGCCGGAATTATTATTTCATTTCAAACACCAGAGTTTTCTTTAAGCAACAAAAGCTAAACCGGGCATGTGTTTATGCAAATAAAAGCTCAACTTGTCCAATCCGAGCAAATCACATGATCGGCTTATATGACCGTAGGAGAGTATCACGTTAATTAAGAGCGAGGTGTAAGAAAGAAGATTATGGCAGCACTGAATGGGATGAAAGATTTTTAAACCAAAAAAAATAAAATGAAAAGTTTAAAAGTAAAGGTGGCATGTGAAGACATGAACTGATACTTTTCATTCTAGACTTCATTCCTCTTAAATAATTTCTTCCTTTGTTTCTTTTGAAGGAAAGGGGAAACGTCATTTGATGGAACCACAACATAATCGTCAAGGTACGATACATATCTATACCATATGTAATTAATTCGCATTCATCCAATTATTTCGGACTTTCGTTTTTTTCGAGCCGAGTCTTGTTCATTCTATGAAATTATAGAGAATTTTTTAACTGAGAAAAAAATAAAAAGCAGGCAACTTGGCTTCCTACATTTAAAAATATTTGTCCATGAAATTTTTTAGCTATTTCTTTAGTAAATTCCCCCCCTCCCCCTTTTCATTAACCGACTTCGGAATCAACGTTTCGGTGATTGATCAGCCAATCTTGGTTCCATGAAACAATAATAATAAATTCAAATTGAAAAAAAAAAAAATATTTACATTTTTAATTAATATCTGTATAAATTATCGTTATAAATAATCTATTTTAATGATATTATCAATTTGTTATCTCATCTTATGATTTCAGTTTGTTAACGATTTGATTTTCTTTTATAAGCAATTCTTCCGTTTCTCTTTTTTTTAAAAATAAACTTGTGAAATAAAAAAAGTAAAGTCAAAGCCTCATAATTATATAAGAATAAATAACCGCAGTAATTGTCGATGGAAGAACTCAGCCGAAAAATAAAAAATCAAGTTCATTCATTCAATTGGTTACACATTATTTTATTTTTGTTTCAAATCTTCGCCCCAACAAATTCCTGTTCATAGCGGTTGATTTACACAATAGTTTGGCTACATATTCCGTTATGAATTCCGTGTCGGTGTGCCAATTCTTGCTGAAAACGGGAATTATCATACGGGAAACGAAAAAAAAATTTTTTTTTATATATATATATATATATATATATAAACACTGCAGAATTGTCATTTTTGGCGCATCAAAAACCATCTAAATATACAATAACTTTCATTATAACAATTTTATAATTTCAGATGTTAAAAATGTTAAAAATGCCTCGTTTGGTAAGTTCTTGTCACGCACAAAGATAAGCCACCCAACTACCAAAAATTCAAATGTTTGTCTTGGTAACATTTATCCAAAGATTATCATTCATTTCTGACCAAAGTTCTAAACATTTTTGCCAAACGTATTGAATATTCTATCCTTAATTTATCTTAATGGTTTTGGATTACTCTTTATCTTGTATATTTATTTATTCATTAAAATAAATCATTTTATATTTGGTATTTTATAATTGACGACGTCAGCAATATGTACATTTATACGTCATTCGCAATAAAATTTTTCCGCTTATCTTTTAAAAAGTTATTTTGCCATATAAAACGCGTTCTTTCTCCCGTAACGTGAACGTTTTTCACTCTCTCCTGTTTATATATATAAAAAACTAACTTCTGCGAGTTTGTAAAGCACTGAAGTCCGGATCACCTTTTTTGTTTGTTTCTAAATGTCTGAATGAATTTAAATCAAAAATTTCAAAAGAAGAGATTCACATAGATCGGAAATAAGCGGTGTGGTAGGAATTTTCTCGTTGCTACACATAAGGTTTCTTAATACCAGTGTTAAAGCAAAACTGCTGGTCTCCCTGCCAATATGGGATGAAAAATTAAGGACTTACTAGTTGAAATGTTGCTAATCTAATTCTCCAAAATTTTCATCGACCTAACCTTGTAAATTTACTATGTGACCTTTCTTTCAGTAATTAGGATGATCGACGATGAATGCTTGGAATACAAATGCGATGGTATCAAGAAGATAAAGAAGGCTATTGTACTAGATGCGCACTCCTTTTACTTGGAAGTTGGCAATATTAACAGAATAAATTGATTTGTAGTCATGGAAGTGCTAGCGGCGTTAATTACAATTATACTTTAGGACATGATGATGTGAATCATAAGAGGAGGAAGATAAGAAAGAAGGAGGTTTCAAAATGTTTAATTTCCTTTCTTATTCATTACAATGTTGGGTAAGGGTAGAAATAGATGTCACTTATATTGATTATGAAGATAACATCTTTTAATTATTGAAGAAACAGAGTATCAACATTGAGCAGTTAAAAACAAAAAAAAAAATTTTTTAATATAAATAGAGAAGAATGAATTAAATTTATCCCAAATGATTAGATGAAAATAAACAATTAAAATTAGTTATGATATTATTACCCAATGTTGAAAATATGTATTAAAAGATATATTGCTTGCGTTTCATCATCTCATGCATTGTAACCTTCTTAGATTTCATACAGTATCCGGAAATGTTTTTCAATATTTTGTTGCATTAAAGAGCTTTCATTTGAAAGATTTGGAAGTAAAGACATGATGGTTTCAGCTGCGGCACGTGATTTAGGCTTGATGTTTGGTTGCGCAAAATTGGTCCTTATTGGATCATGATCTTATTCATAGGGAAACACGTTTCATAATAACCTCATTTCAGGAGGTATTGTAAGCTTGTACTACGAAATGCAAATGACCGCGCTGATTCCAAATTTGGAAATTGCGTCAGGAGATAGAGTTTTGTCGGGTTCGGTAAATCTTCCTTACATTTCACCACTTCTCAAGTCATGACTGAATATCAATCTCTTAAGAACCTTATCAATCGCTTAGAAGCCGCCACTTCTCGTCTTGAGGATTTGGGAACCTCTTCTGCTGCTGCTAATAACTTAAGTCGTAATTCGGCTGGTGGCCAACCTGCTGCACCTTCACTTGTATCTTCGCAAAGCAACGACGCGGTTGGTGGAGGTGAAGTTTCTCCCACTCTTGCTGCTTATGACGAACTTATTGAAGGCCCCTTGAAAAATTACCTTGAACGCTCAAAGTTGATTGGTGGTATTGTTGAAGACCAGGTAATTTTTGCGACTTAATTTATCCTAATGAATTCATATTCTTTTATTTTACCTTCAACTCAACTTTCAAAAATTTCAGAGCCACGCAGTTGAAGATCTCTTTATCGCGCAGCGCGATTTTATTTATATAACTACTCAAAGTTCAAAACCAACCGACGAAACCATTTTGGAGTTAATCAAACCTACTCGACTTTCTCTTGAAAAAGTTTGTGAGTTTAGAGAGAAAAATCGTCCTTCTCCTTTCTTTAATCACTTATCCACCGTTAGCGAAGGTATTGGCGCGCTATGTTGGGTGACCCTTGAAGAAAAGCCTGCACCATTTGTTGGAGAATTGAGAAATAGTTCTCAATTTTATGCACATCGTGTAATCAAAGAATTTAAAGACAAGTAAGGAATATATCTTGTTTATGATATAAAAGAAATTATAATTAATTTTTGATCAACTTTTATTTTCTCTTTAGGGAACAATCTCAATCCCACATTGCTTGGGCCAATAGTTTTGTTTTTTTGTTGGCTAGTCTTCAGAATTATATCAAAGAATATCACATTAAAGGTCTTGCCTGGAATCCAGAGGTTCAACATTTTTTCCCTAAATGCTATAGATTTTTTGTATTATATTTTTCTAATTCTTTACTATTATTATACAGGGTGCAAATCCCAAGAATTTTGTTGGAAGGAAACCCGCTTCTCCTTATTCATCCAAGATGTCTCCACCATCTGCTCCTCCGAGTGGCCCTCCACCACCACCTCCTCCGCCACCACCACCACCGCCAGCGGTACCCTCAGACTTTGATGATCTGTCCTCATCAGGAGGCAAAGTTGATATGAGTTCCGTATTTGCAGAACTTAATAAAGGAGAGACAATTACTTCTGGCTTAAAAAAAGTAGAAAAAAGTCAAATGACACACAAAAATCCTAGTTTGAGAGTCAGCAGTGTTGTTTCTGATATTGGAGGTATAGTACTATGATTATTGTTTTAATTCTAATTAGTATAATTAAAATCAAAAATATCAAATTTACTTTTTTTAAAAAAAAGCAAAAAAGAAATCAATTAAGGGACCTGCCGCTCCACCGAAACCAGCTTCGTTGTCTCTTAAAAAGCCTCCAAAAAAAATTCTAACTGGCAATAAATGGAATATAGTAAGCGTAAAAATGAATGACTTTTCGGATCTATGAAATTTAATTAAAACGTCTTTCATTTCTGTTAGGAAAATTATGAGAATGATAAGAATATTATCGTTGAAGATACTTTTATTAATCAAACAGTATATATATTTGGATGTAAAAATTCTACAGTACAGGTCAAAGGAAAAGTTAACACTGTTGTTATCGGCAAGTATATAAATTATTTATTTTCTTATTATTGAATTTGTTACTTGGATAATTACTTGAATAAAGTATTAATTTAAATTTTTTTTTTTAGATACATGTACAAAATCTGGACTTGTAGTAGATTCAGTTGTTGCAACAGTTGATATAGTAAATTGTAAATCAGTTCAAGTTCAGGTTCAAGGCAAAACACCAATAATTGTAATCGATAAAACTGATAGTGGTCAAATATTTTTATCAGAGGAATGTCTTGACGTTGAAATTTTAACAGCCAAGAGCTCATCTATTAATGTTAATATACCTGGAATGGGTGATAATGGGGATTATGCTGAAAGACCTGTACCCGAACAATTCAAAACTACTATTGTTGAAGGTAAACTTATTTCTACTCCTGTTGAACATACTGGATAATTAGCAAATAAGGAAATTATATTGTAATATTCAATAATTATTTAATTATCATAATAAGTTTTATTTGAGTTTATAAAGCTAATATATCATGAATGTGAATTTTAATATTTATAATTAATTATTGCATAATCTAATTATGCAAGCAAAATAAAAAAAATTTAAATCAATGGTCATTAACATATATTAATTTATTATAAAGTTAGGTGAATATTTATATTTTTATTATATAATACTTCAAATTTATTTTTAAATAATAAATTATTAGATAAATTTTTTTTTTGAATATCTTAAAAAATTTTAAATAAATATATTTTTTTAATTATTAATAAGTATAATCAAAAATTTAAATGTAAAAACATATATTCACATATTAATAATTAAAATTATTTTTTTAAAATTAATATAAATATAAAAAACTTTAATTTATTTTAATAATTAATAAAATTTATATTTTTTTTTGTTTTCAGTTTTAAGATATATTTTAATATAATTTTTTATTTATATAAAAATTTTATTAAATATCAATTCCTTTAATTTCAAAATCTTTAATATTACTTTTAAGTAAAATTATATTATCATTTAAATTTCTATATTTTTTAGCTTTAGTAAATATTTTTTTCAAAATCTAATAAATGTTTTAATCAGAATCAACAACTGAATCAACTTTGCAAAAATCATTTAGAGTCAACTTCAGAATTTTCAATGACTGGAACATGATTAAGTTGCTATTTCAAATTTGATATAAGATCAGAATATTGTAAAATTTTTAATTAAATAAAGTTTTAAATTTTAGTCAAATGTGATTCTTGTTAACATTATTTATGATGAAACTTATAATTATCTATCTTTTTGCAACATTAATTAAATTTTAAAAATTTTGATAAATATTAAAATATTAATAATACAATTATGTTCGCTAATTTCAAATGAGAGTCTCAACTCAGTCGATAGCTAGATTAACTGAAAAGTCTCTAACAGCTGACTGAGTCAACTTCAGAATTTGTCACGACAGATATTACTAATTTTAAGTATAATTTTATAAATAATAATTTGTTTCTAATAGTAAAAAATTAGGATGCGAATCAGTTTTATAATTTTTCTTTTACAACTGCTCATATTCCTTCAATTAGTTAAAGTTCACTAATGATATTAACGAATATAAAATAAGTTATTAATATATTTTCTAGTTATCTTATTATATTCAAAAGATACTTTTATTTTATTTTACTAATTTATAAAAGTTTTACTTTATTAGATTATTCTGATATCTCAAAATTTTTGACATTAATCACACAATTAAAACATTTTTCTTGAATTTAATGTTAGTATTTATTTGATAATAAGTTACATCTATATGGGAACGTTTCTAGTAAAATCAAGTCATGAGGCATAGTAAATCATATGATCTGTAATGTGATTTTACTGGAAACGTTCACATATGAATATTTACTAGCTTATAGGGTTCCGCAATTCGATTTGATATTTGAATATTCGATTTGAAAATCAAATCAAATACAAATTCAAATTAATAATT